TGGTGCAATAAATTCCACCTCTTGGTGAAAGGAGCTGCAAAGAATTTGAGGCCATTTGCAATTTACTCTAGAGTCAATTTCACTGGGAAATTGAGAAAAAGAAGTCCTTTTTTTTTTTTTTTTTAGAGAAGTCCTTTTTCTATCAGAGTTGCTGAGGCATTAGGCTGTAAGCCCTGAGATGCTGGCAGGCAGCTTTGCCAATACAGGGGAAAGGCCTGTTGGAGAGGAAAGGACTACCAAGACTAGAGATAGAAACTGCTGATGGTTTCATTTGAGCTCCACTCATGCCTATATTTAGGTTGGTTTGAGTCTCTCTGAGATTGGAAGTGAGAGAAAGGAGGGTTTCTTTCCTTCTGAATACCTTCCTCAGACTCCCAAAGCATAGCCCACTTCTTAAATGGTGGCAATAGCTGTCCTCCATAATTGAATGCTGTCATTCTCAGTCAGTGTGAGATGCTATAACAGAGTATCATAGATTGGGTGACTTATAAACAACAAAAATTTCCCTCTCATAGTTCTGGAGACTGGAAAATGCAAGGTCAAGACACCGGCAGATTCAGTGTCTGGTGAGAGCCCACTTCCTGGCTCAGAGAGAGCTGTCTTCACTGTGTCCTCACATGGCAGAGGGGCAAGGGAGCTCTCTGGGGTCCCTTTTATAAGGACACATTCCATATGTGAGGGCCCCACCCTCATACCTTAATCATCTCTCAAAGACCCCCATCTCCTAATACTATCACCTGGAGTTCGGATTTCAACATATAAATTTGGGGGTACACAGACATGCAGCTTTGAATTCCACTTGAGCTCATGGCCTAACTTTTGGTATCCTTCTACTGAAATAAATGATTTCCATGGAGGTGGGAGGGACAGGCTGGTAAAGAAGACAGGTGTGGTGAGTTTCACACAAGTGTTTGCTTTGATTTCAACAGAGACAGGGTAAGTTCACAGTGATTTTTCAGAAAAGATGTCAGGAATATGGTAACATACTAATTTAATGATGAGCAGGTACCTAGAAAAGGTGCCTAGTTTTGAAGACTGGTCACTTTTTGGTGGTATCTGAATCTCTCCATAGCATCCAAATCTCTACCATTTATGGTTTTCCTGTTAGGGTCAAATAGAGAAGCCATCCTCTGTAGTTTATGTGAATTCAATCATAGTATGTGCAGGAAGAGGTAGGAACAAAAATGGAGACAGAGAGGGGAGGGGAGGGGAGGAGAGGAGAGGGGAGGGGAGGGCAAAGGAGGGGAAGAAGGAGGAGGAGGAGGAGGAGGGAGGAGGAAGAGGAGGGAGGAGGGAGAAAAAGAAGGAGGAAGGAGAAAAAGAAGACGACGACGACGATGACAACAACGAAGACGACGAGAGAGCAATGTGTCACCATGTGAACACTGTGGGGGACCTACCCATCTACCTACTGTTTTTGTCTATGAGCACAACCTTTTGGTGGGCGTAAGATGGAAACTGTATATCTGCTCTTGTTCCCTCACGCCATCCCAGTGCCCGCCTGCTGGGTGCGATCAGTATGAAAGACGGCTACTTCCCTTCAACATGGCCCTAAGAAACACCTTTCTACAGAGCTCAACTAGAGAAACACAGTGAGGGGTCCAGCCCTGGGAAAAACCTACTAGGTACAGGGAGTTTCTGGGGGACAGCACATGCTGTTGTCTAGGCCCTAGACTCTAGGGAGTGTAAGAAATGGTTTCACCTGGAGAGTAGCATACGAAGTGAAATTAAGTCAGAAAAAGACAAATATCACATGATCTCATTCATATGTGGAATATAATTAACAAAATAAACTGATGAACAGAATGGCTCCAGAGACATGGAAGCATGAAACAGAGTGCAGAATCTCGGAGTGAATGGGGGGGGGCAGTTTGTGGCAGAGAGGGGTCAACCAAAGACCCTGAATGCAAGGGCCTGGAGTGGGGGTGGGCTAGAGGGGATCGATTGGGGGGGGACCATATGTAATACATTCAACAACGAAGATTTTAAAAAGAAATAAGGAGAAAAAATATTATTTCATAGGAGGAAGTCTTTGTCAATGCATGTTTTCACCATCCTGACTGACTTCGGAACCTCCCCTATCTCATTTCCTCACTGGAAACGATGGGGAACAGGAACAAGTCACCCACATTCTCTGAAGCTTGCCACTCCCATCCTTTGTAATGTCTTTGTCAATTGTACCTTTGAAGACCCTCACTGGAGGGTGTGACACCCTTCACTGGAACACTTGAGCCCATCACTAACGCAGAAGTGATTTCGAAGACTCCAAAAGCCAGCACTGGCAGTAAACTCAGACTCCTCGCCCTGAAGCTCCTGAGCAGTCTTCCCAAACTGCCTCCCTGGTCCTATCCCGATGGCACCAGAGGGCGGCGTGAGAGGATGCCCCTCTGCTGACTGCTGGGTTCTCCAGCCACATTTCTTTTATACACACAGTGTGTCGAGGGCCACTTCCAGCCGCTGCCCGGAACCTAAGCAGCATCTGGCCATCAGCTTGACAGGATGCTGAGTGGCCTGTGTATACCTTTCACTGGGACACAGAAGCCCTTCACTTTCCCCCCTTTGTTAAAAGCGCACAGGGAAGACAGGCGTGACTTTTTATAGCCTCTCCAAAGGTCAGGCTTTCTCCTGTGGCTGGAAGTGGCCCTCAACACACTGTGTGTATAAAAGAAATGGATTATCAGCCTCACCTTTACGTCAGGGCTGTGCTGAGCACATGATCTACCTCCCTTTTCTTCCACAGAGCCACCCGGGGCTCGATTTGATGTGTTTTATTTCTGACCCTGCATGAGGGATCCACCAAAACACCCCATCCTGCAGGAGGCCTTGAACAATGCTTACTTCCTTCTTCACCTGGGATAACCAACCTGGGCCATCCGGAATGAAGCAGGTGTTTGATTTGCATGAGTAAAAACACAAGACTCAAACTAGGCACAGCCTGCTGTAACCACAGGAGGGACCAAGAGCCAGGCATCCATATATGTTCAGGGCTATTTTAATAGAACAATCATCATCCTCATTCCACTGTGTGGCTCTTGTTCTCCTGAAGGTACCTGTGTGGATTACCGATAATTCACTCAACTTTCATTGGTTCAACTCATACTTACTGAACACCTACTCCGTGCCATACTGTTCTAGGTGCTTGGAATATACTCAGTGAACAAAACGGCATCTCAGCCCTCACTGAGCCGGCACTGAAAGCCTTGTCCATTATAGTGGGGCCATAGAATTTATTGCCCAAACTCAGACACTCTTGAGAAGGAAACTGATTGCCGTGGATTATTAAGTCGGACAACAGGCACAGACCAGAACCTTCCTGGGCAATCCACAGGGGAGGTGCAGCTGCCCAAGGCTTTGCCTGGCAGTGGACACTGCTCAGTCATCAGGTGCTTCTAGAGCAGAAAGAGCAATGTGCTTTGGAGGTAAGCAGTGCTGGGGGTTTGAGACTCAGCTCAGAGACTTACTGAGTGTCATCAGCTACTCATCCCGTCCGTCTGACGTTCAAGTTTCCTGGTAGTATGGATTATGTGAAGTAACACTTGGAAAGACCTAGCCCACACTTGGCATGTAACGCCGTAGCCAGGTTCTGTGACGTTAAGCAAAATGACATACAATGAAACCAGTTTTACTATAGGCTAATTGATATAAACAAGAGTTAAACTTCTACAGCATCTTATCAATGTTATAACGAAACGATGTTGAACAAAATGATGCCATTCAAGGACCTGCTGTAGAGGCTTAACAACCATTGGTTTCTCATCCCTCAACTCAATGCCAACACTCCGGCCCTCCCCCCACCCCCAACACACACATTAACTAGATTTGGAAACTACCCTTTAATATCTAAAGCAATCTACCTGGATTAGCAAAAAACTTACATTGGTTAAATAATTATAGGAAAAGTTTCTACTGGAGCAGCAGAATAAAACCAATGAGAAAATCATAACCATTACTACATTACTGAGTTTACTGTAAGTGCTCAGTAGCTTTTTACATTAACTGTGTTCCTACAATCTCTATGGATCAAGTCATGTTTTACAATCCATTTTAAAGATGAAAATAAGGCCTAGATCTGGGAGCAGCAAATGTTTTCTGTAAGGGCCAGTAAGTAAATATTTTAGGTTTTGCAGGCCACAAGCATACTGTTGGAACTATTCAAGTTTTCAGAGGTAGCATGCAGCAGGAAAGCAGCCAAAATATGTAATGAAGGGTGAGTTTCAATAAAACTTGACTTAGAACAGCTGGATTTGGCTCCAGAATCTGCCTGCTGACTCCTGACCTAGAGAGGTAAAGCCTAGTTCAAGCTCCGCAGGCTAGTGAAGTGGGTTAGCTGGGTCCTGGTTTACCCCTCACTACAGCCAATGTCAGAGATTTTTCCATATCACAACAGAGGCACCCCCTTTCTCTTAATGGCTACAGAGTAATCCCTGTTGTGGCTGAACTGTAAGCTGCTTAGCTGGTCCCCTCCTGGCAGGTACTGAAGTCAGTTACAGCACTTTGCTATTATAAATAATGCTGCAGCAAATACCTGTACACAAGTCATTTTGCACATGTTGAATTGTAGTGTATTTTCAGAATGGCTGCTGGAGTTCCAGCCTTGATATCCATTATCGCAGGCTGCATGCAACAGTTGGGGGAAGGCAAGAAAAGCAGCTTCCAGTTGTCTGACCCTTCCCTGAAAATCCCACCTAAGAGCTTCTGTTTACATATCACTGACCCAAACACAGTCCCATGGGCACATCCAGCTGCAGTGGGAGAGAGAAGTCTGAGGGCCTCCCCTGGGATCTCGTGGAAATGGATGGATAAGCATGATGTCCCATGTTACTCCAAGCAGGTGGGAGTGGTCCAAGCTGTCCCTTCTTGCTGTGCTTTCTTAAGGTTCCCTTCCATCAGATGGGGATAAAGTATGGAGATAAAGTCAGGAGGCCAGACTCACAGCCTTAGCTGTCACCATGGGTATCTTTGTCTCCCTATCTAAAGATGCCCTCTCCCCCTCCCATCTTTCCTCTACTTTAGTCTGTTTTAACTAATGGCATTTCATAGAAAAACTGCAGATTTTTCTTCAGACAAGATCTCTTCCCCTAATAAACACTTAACATTGTTAGCAGCACCCTTCCTTATCACCTTAAGAATAGTGAAATGGGAAATATACTTTGTCTATATACTTTAACCAATACCAGTGACTTTCCATTTCCTAATTTCACATACAGTAACTCTTCAAACAGCTCAAACAGGTTCCTGGCTCCTCCTGAATCCTAATTAAATCAGTACAAATGTTGTGGATCTAAAAGGATGGGGGATGGCGATTCCAATGAAAGCCCTCTCTACCTGCCAAGGAAATGGATTTGAGAGCAGTTTGAGGGAAAATTATAGACCTTAAGATTAATTCGATGTGGACAGTGAGGCTGAAGAGAGTCAGAAGGCTGGATTTTGGCCTCTAGTTTACACAGCTGGGTAGATCTTTTAATCCCCAGCGGCTGGCCCTTTATCTGGCATAGGGCAGATGTTAAATAAATTTTGTGAATGAAAAAAAACACATAAAAAACCTTCTTTCAATACTAGTCACTCCCCTTGACATGATTTCCTTATTTCTGTCCTGTATTTTTATTATTTTCCTATTCAGCCTGAAATTTACCACTAACTCATGTTTCCTTCAGGTCCTGTATTAGTCAGGATTCCCGAGAAAAGCAGAACCAATGGGGGTTGGAGGTGGTGTACATATAAGGAATTGGCTCACGTGATTACAGAGGCTGACAAGTCTCAAGATAATCCGTCGGCAAGCTGGAGCCTCAGCAGAGCAGATGGTGGGGGGCGTTCTGAGAGCCAATGTTTCAGTTCAAGCCTGAAGGCAAAGGACCAACGTCCCAGCTCAGCAGTCAGGCAGGAGAAATCGCCTTTATTCTCAGGAAGGTCAGCCTTTTCATTTTAGTCAGACCTTCAACAGATTAGATGAGGCCCACTCACATTAGGGAGGGCAATCTGCTTACTCAGTCTACCAATTCAAGTGTTAACCTCAACCAAAAACACCCAAACAGAAACACCCAGAATAATGTTTGAGAAATGTTTGGTGCCCATAATCCAGTCAAATGGACACAGAAAACTGACCATCACTAGTCAATTTTATGAGTGCACCTGACTGATTAGCCAACAAGTCCTGCTCTTCTTCTGGAGAGGAGTTTTCTATGCAGTCAGGGTCTTGGCAGAAATAAGAAGCACTCAAATGGGAGAAGTGAGTGGAGTTTATGGATGAGACTTGTTCAGAAAGGTGAGGGCAGGATGAAGGGAACTTAAACTTGAGGGATGGTGAAGCCTCCAAGGTCCTGAGACAGTCGGAAGCTTTTATGACTTCTGGGTCTGATGGGGCAGACAGAGGGAATGTGCCAGCCATGTTCAAACCACTTGACTCATTACCTTTAAAAAAATGCTTTTTTTAATTGACCTTAGAGAAACATTGATCAGCTGCCTCCTACACGTCCCCTACTGGGGATCAAGCCACAATCCAGGCATGTGCCTTGACCAGGAATGGAACTGGGATTTCTCTGTGCATGGGATGACGCTCAACCAACTGAGTCACACCAGCGAAGGCTACACGTATTACCGTTAAAAAAAGTTTTATTGAGACACTAAAGGCCCAGTGCACAAAACTCGTGCACAGGGAAAGGGGATCCCTCAGCCCAGCCTGCACCCTCTCCAATCCGGGACCCCTCGGGGGATGTCCGACTGCCTCTCACAATCTGGGACTGCTGGCTCCTAACTGTTCGCCTGCCTGATTGCCCCTAACTACTTCTGCCTGCCTGCCTGATTGCCCCTAACTGCTCCCCTACCAGCCTGATTGCCCCTAACCACCTCTCACTTGCCCTTCACCCAGGACCCAGGATTCCCTCTTCTGGCCGGTCACAGGCACCCAGGACCTGGGCTTCCCCTCCTCTGGCCGGCTGCAGGCACCCAGGACCCAGGCTGGCTGCAGCCACAGGGGACCGTGGGTGGGCGGTTTGTCCCTCTCCCGGGTAGCAGACTGGGTGGTCCCCATTCCTCTCTCACGAGCTCATTTGTACCTGGCTGGTCCCCATTCCTCTCTCCCCACTGTTGAGTGTCTGAGTTCAACACTGTTTTGGCATGATGGTGTGACAACCATTTGCATATTAGCTCTTTATTATATAGGATAACTCACATACCAGACAAGTCACTAATTTAAGGTGTACACTTCAATGGCTTTTAGTATATGCACAGTGTCCTGTAACCATCACCACAGTCAAATTTAGAACATTATCCTGAAAAGAAACCCTGAACTCCTTAGCTATCACCCTCCAACACCCCCATTCCCTCCCAGCCCTAGGTAACCACTAATCTACTTTCTGTCTCTATGGATTTACCTGTTCTGGACATTTCATGTAAGTGGAATCATACAATACATGGTCCTTTGTGACTGGCTTCTACCACTTAGTGTACTTTTTCAGGTTCATCCATGACAACCCAGGTGCACCCATTTTACAAGTGGGTAAATAAAGGCACTGAAAGGTCAGGTAACACCTGATAAGTGGTAGAGCAAGAATTCACACCCAGGTGTTTTAGATCATTATGCTACGCTGCCTCTCTGTTACAATAGAGTCCTCACCCACCATCAAGGGGAGCACTATAGTAATGTCCCCCCGATTGCATCCTCCCTGACCCAGTCCATCCTGAACCTACTGCCCCATTTATATCCACTCAAGTTCTGTCTCCAACACGACTTCCTGGGCTCAGGGGACATCAGCCTTTTTACCTTCTCCCTTCTCCTGGTGAGGGAACTCTGGCTTCCTTTGTGGGAACCATCCCTACCCAACTCGAGGCCATGTGGCTTGAGTGGAGTTGTTCCCACTCCACCAGGCAATTCCCCAGGCCACAGTATTTGGTCCAGGGGGAGAAATGTGACCTAATTGGAGAAAAATGAGACTGGAGTGGGGGAGGGGCATCATTGTGGGTTCTGGGAAACTAAAGTTTTCTCTCGCTTCTGTAGAAGCTAGAGCAGTGGTTCTCAACCTTCTGGCCCTTTAAATACAGTTCCTCATGTTGTGACCCAACCATAAAATTATTTTTGTTGCAACTTCATAACTGTAATGTTGCTACTGTCATGAATCGCAATATAAATATCTGATATGCAGGATGGTCTTAGGCGACCCCTATTGAAAGGGTCGTTTGACTGCCAAGGGGATCGCAACCCACAGGTTGAGAACCGCTGAGCTAGAGGAAGAGATCCTCTTTATGTGGCTGGAAGAGTATTAAGAGGTGATGGAGGGAAGTGCTGCAGCAATTCTGCTGCCATATATGAGGCAGGCCACTGGGAGCCATTGGGAGCCCAATTTCAACACTATGAAAAGCAGAAATAGGAGAGAGAAAGAGAGGCCAAGTGTTTGGTTCGAGCTCCTGGGTCAAGCGATACCTGAAGAAAATGACCTCTGAATTTTTCATTCTTCTTATTAGAACTGTGAGATGTTTTGACTCTTCTAAATGATATGAGAGAATTTCATGTTCTAAAATTCTTTTCTTATACAGCACTTAGAATATGGTCCCTTGAAGCAGTCAAATAAATAACTGAGATAATTAATCTTCTAATGCCCATGCTGTCTTATTTAAACACATACAAAGAGCATCAGCAAGTGAGTGCAACAGGTGGCATCTCCATGCAATTTTTTGTTTCAATAAAGCCACTTGGAAGTTAGGCATGGAAAATACCACACAAAGGCGCCCCTCCCCACCCCGTGGAATGGGAGCATTGCTGTCACCATTGTTTCCACCTGATGAAGACAGCTTGCTCTGGAACATATTTCCAGCTGTCACGGCACCAAGTGGACTGGAGAAAATTGGAACAGCAAGTCACATCGTAGTGGAAAAGTGGGACAAAGCTTGAATCACCCTCAGGGAAAAGCATCAATTTGGGGGTAGATTTAAAATAAAGCCCTTGTGGAATTAAACCACTGATTCTTAACCAGGGTGCATATTAAATCCTTGTGTGAGCTTTTAAACTATATCCATCCCTTAGGCCAGCTCTGCAGTACCTGCTTCAGTAGGACTGGGGGAAGCAGGAGCATCAGTCAATATTTTTTATCTCAGGAGTTTAATTTGATTTGCACGCCTAATTAAGAATTCCAAAATTAAACGTTAGGAAATTCTGTGTAACTGGAAATATAATTGAGATTTTTTAAAAAGGAACAAAAAGTATCATGAAGAGAAATTCTAAAAGAACACACACAACAGCCCTAAATAAAAAGCATTCTGAGGGAGGAGTTGAGACATAGTGGCGGGTGAAATGTCTGTCAGGCTTCCGCTGGGTTTGGAGTGCAGATGGACAAGAGGACTGAAGGGCACCCACAAGTCTGAGCCTCCTTCCCCCCCGCATACTCTGACCTAGAAGTTTCTAGGTGAGCCTGTATTGAGATCAGGTGATTGTCATTACTTGTTTCAATTCCTTTTGTTCCATCCCATGAGCCCACATGATTTGTTTTTAGCTTAGATTCGTTTATCAAATGTTGGCTGAGGGCCTGCTAAGCTCCAGGAACTGGCAATAGCCCCTGCCTTTGAGAAGCTCGCTGCCAGGCTGGAGAAATGGTAGGAAAGCGGGTAACAACCATACAATTATAGAATGCAATACCAACGCAGGAAGCTAGAATATGCAGGGATGGGAAAGAGGGTATGGGAGGATTTCACTTAAGAGATAGGGGATTTGACAGGGCAAACAGCCTTAATCAATAGAAGGGCAGAGCATGCAGATTGCAGGAAGGGGGGAGGGTGTGAGCAATGCCAGGGAGCAGTGCCAACTAATGAATACGCATTCAGTGCGGCCCCTTGGACACTTGGTGCTTAATGCGGGTTTCTCCACATGTGGTCCCCTCCAGACAGACTAACCGAGCTCCCCTGTGTTTTCCTCTCTCCCTTTTCTGAAAAGGAAAATGCCTCCTCCCTGAAAAGGACTCTCAAGTTAGTGGCCCAGCACAGAGTAGAATAGCCAGCTGGGCAAGTCCTCCGTATCTTGCAGTGTGCAAATGTGACAGTCCTCTCTCATCTAATGGCAAAAATCAGGAGGTGGGGTTATTGGGGTCAGAATATCACCATACGTAGCAATTGCTTATCTATGCTCTCCACGGATT